GTTTGTATGGCCTTCGTGTTTCATTAATCGGCTATAAAATATATTGGATGCGTGCAATTATATGTAACTAGCCAATACATAGCCCATGGTCGAACAGAACTGTCACAAACCGGAAAGTTGGTGTGTCAACGAGGTATAGTCTAGTAAAAAATGACATTTACTTACAGACCTACTTAAAAATTCCAAGTGAATATCAATGTACTTTTATTGATGACTTAAATATCCTAATTGAATACCACTGAACTTTTAAGCTTCAAAATAATCTTATAAAATCCCAGTTGAATACACTCTAGTAATTTGTCCGTTGGTGCAAATGTCTCATTCCCCTTTTTCTACGTTGAAATCGTCTGTATAATTTCCAATTACTTAACAAGTGGAGCCTTGAAAAGATATGGATGTCAAATTCTTGTGCAGTAAAGACTGGTGCGCATGGCAGTGGCCCATCGAGAGTCATATGGCGGGTGCCAATAATGTTTGCAGTCCATGGCCCACATTCCGCGGAAAATTTACGCATTTGTTGATTGTGTCTATTTTTTGGACGATGTCCATGGAGATAGAATTGAAAGCATCTGGCTGCTCCAACCTGCACGTTTTGGAGATTCTTTTGACGAGTCTCTAGACACAATCATATGAACACGCTTCTTTTTGGGCCATGACCATATCTCAGACCACTGAATACTCAGTAGACTGAACTGATCGCAAGAAAAGGACAGATTTTGTGGCGTTTCCGCTCCACATTTCAGAAAAAGGTTTGCTGGATATTAGCAATGCATTCATCATTGGGTTTTCGTTCTCTGTTTAATTGGTTGCTTAGCAGTGTTTCTGTTTTCGACCCAATTTTTTTTTATAAATAAAAATAAAAATATACTTAAATAGTATAACACACACGGCTATACTATTCATTAAAAAATAATTTATTTATCAAACCTGTACTTGTTTCTAGAAATAGTTATTTACAAGAACACCTTTGAAGTTTTCGATGTTTTCACAAAACTTTCTAAAGTTTCAAAAATTATATGAACACTTTGAGATTTTATATTGTTTTCACAAAACTCCTTTTCGTTGATTATTCATCCAAAAATTGATGATTTCGTTAAAATAAACTTATACAAATGACAAAATTAACCTCAATGAATGTATATGCAATTTAATCTCAATGTCTAACTTTCTCATTTGGAACAAAAACAAAAGAAATTAAAAATAATTGGAGAATTTTTCTATTTATAAAATCATCAATCTTTGGACGGAAATCAATGGAAAGGAGTTTTAAGAAAACAATTTATAACTTTAAAGGGTGTTCATGTAATTTCCAAAATCTCAAGGAATGTTAGTGTAAACAACTCTTTTTAGGAATATACGAAATGGTAGATTTGATTAAGTCAAGTTCATGCCCCTTAATGTCCCTTGTCCAATTTGTTGACGGGTGTCCACCTACTTAACACAAACATAACAGTGTTAAGTTTTAATTAAAAAATGAAAAATAAAAGGCTGAAAACTGAGATATAAAAACAAAAAACAAAAAACAGGTGGGTATTGTCTAGAGTATTTTAGTTGTATGGGTCTATTTTGGTTAGACCCTAGATTTTATGAATTTTTTAATTTTATTAGAACTTACCACCAGCTGGTGATGTAGTGGTAGAGGAGGAATCAAAAGAGTCGGAGGAAGGAGTAGTGGTGGTTTTGGTTATGGTGGGGGGTTGTGGGTGGCTGATAGTTACCATCAATATATTTCCACAAACTGTGGCCAATAAGGAAGGATTTTATTTGACGTAACATCCAATTGGAAAATCTAACATCCATAAATATCGAAGACGAATTTGAACACAAAAATTTTTTATCACCCTAAATTGTTGTCCTGCTATAAATAAGGTAACACAATTTTATATTTATGCTCGTGGGTGTTTTCGTCATTCATGTTCTTCATTTGGACCTTTCGGTAAGCTTGATTAATGTATCTTATGTGCATTGTACTTATAATACCAATTTTTTAAATTTGGTCCATATGAGTTATGATTTTTTTTAGCTACAAATGTTTTAAATTCGAATTCAAAATTTAAGAGTGACAAATGCTTTAAATCAAGGACTTTTAATGTGTTTCCATTATTTGCCTTCAAGGGCAAAATAGTCATGAAAAACAAATAACAAATGCAAATTAGGCCTGGATTTATCAATTCAAATACGTGGGTTATACTCAACATTTTCATCTAGAATTGGGTTTGTGTTCATCCAAAATAGAATTGGGTTTCTTTGTTCATCCAAAATATAAACAAAGAGAGTCTGTGTTTCGAAAAGCAAACAAATAATGGGCTCGTTACTGAGTCCAACTAGACATTTGGGCCCAAACAAAGAAAATCCAATTTCTCTCTCACATATTCTTTTCCTATTCAAAACGAACCGTTTTTAACTTTTTATTAGATTTTTTAAAAATTTTTGGAATCAATTCGTCTCCAGATCTTGGAAGGGGAAAATTGCGAGCATCCTGTTCGAGGGTTTCTGGTCTGCGAGTTTCAGCGGTTAATCTCTCAGGTAAAATCTCATTTTGAATAGTTCGCTTCTTAATTCAATGAAGTTGAATATCAATTTCAATTAAAATTGGACGTTCTGGAAATTATTTATATGTCGCATTGCTAAAGTCATCATCTAATTAGCTAATTAGATGATAAGTTAATGGAGGAATTTCATCTGTGTCTGAACCAATATTAGGATACAAGAAGGTAGGGGTTATAAATTAGCACTGAAATACTACTGTGAAGAGGAAAGTTGATCCCTTTGAACAGAATTTTTTTTTTTGGTGATGGTATTTGTGCTGCACTTTAAGCTATCGTTCATGAATTTAGTTTTGTTTTAGAGACCCTTAATTTTTTCCTTTTTGGAAGTTCCCTAGTTAAACATTGGAGAACCGTTGATTTTGTTCACATTTTAATAGAGTTTCAGTATGTTTTTGATATATTTTAAACTTGGTTTTGAATATTGTTGTGGGTATGGAAATCTATGGGCTCCAGCCTCCACTTGTGTTGTGTCGTCGCTAATTGGGTTTTGTGGAAACTTCAATCCTATGTTTCAATCTTTAGCATTTTAATTCAATGAAGTTGAGTTTCAATTTCAGTTAAGTTGGACGTTTCGAAAATGACCTTCTTGAAAGTCATCTTCTTGGTTGAATGGAAATAGAGATAAAAGAAGCTAGGGGTTACGACTTAGGACTGAAGTACTGTGAAGAGGAATGTTGCTCCCTATGAACATTTAAAATTTGGTGATGGTATATGTGCTTCACTTTAAGCTATCTTACTTGAATTTAGTTTTAGAGACTCTTAATTCTGCCCTTTTTTAAAGTTCCCTGGTTCAAGATTGGATTACCCAATATCAATTTTGTTCACATGTTAATGGAGTTTAAGAATGTTTGATGAAACGAAGAAGTTTATTCCCTAATATAGTTTTTGGAAGACTACCTCTTGGCTCTTTTATTTTGTTATTGGATCTACATGCCTTTGTCATTTAGGAAAACATGAAATTAATCATGTCTTGGTGACCTGTATATCTGAAAGTTTATGCCAAGAGTTGCCACTGGTTGCATGAAAGGGGAAGAACATGGCATTTAGTGTCATTGGCTTAGAAGAGGGAGGGATATTACTTGTGTATTGTGGGGGACAAATCAAAGCCAACATGTTTATCTTCTTAAGTTCACATTGCACAAATTCAATTCTTTGTGCATCACGATTAAAACTAAAAGCATGTGCTACCTCAGTCTTGATTGTTCGTGTGCACTAAAGCTTGAAATTACTTTTGGAATACCATTTCCCTGCCCCTACAGTATTTGTAAACTGTAGAACTTGAAAATTGCTTAGCTATGGAAATGGTTTCGTGTGGGTTGGGGTGTGTTAACCATACTAATCAGGCCGCTATATAGGCAATGGTAAGTCATAATTAGCTCTTAATCAAGAGAATGCAGTCCAATTTTGTATATTCATAACTGCTTCCTTAAAGGCTTTCCTTGGCAAAAGTGGGAGGGAGGTTTTTAAAATGCCTTTGTAGCTGTTCCTGGACTTTTGCTAGGTTTACCCAGTGGATTTGAAAGAAAGGTTAAGGTGATTGAAGTTTATTTTCATATAGAAAATGTCATAGAACTTACATTTGCTTTTCAATGGTGAAGTTTTTCAGCAGGCTTTGTACTCCGGATCAGCAGCTTATGCAAGACACTGACCGAACCAAAGCAAATGTTATGGTGTTTAACAGTACTTAATTCCTAAAGCTTTGGATGGGTGCAAATTTAGTTGTTTCTCGCTTAATTTGCAACAATGTGTTTATTCCGTGTAGTTTTGAATATAGTGTTTATTCCACATATTGTAGTGAAACTTACCCAAATGAGAAAGGGTGTTGGGGGAATTCGGCATTAGAAATCAAGCCTGGCTAAGTATTTTATATATGCACAATCTTTTCATAAAACCAAAAAATTAGCTCTAGTAAAATCTGTACAGGAAGAAACCACTCAAGATTACCCGAATTAATGTGTTTGGGGTAAAGAAAAAGGCATCGGAAGGGGGCTGTTCAAATTATCCTATGGATCTTTAGCGACGACTTTGGTAGCCGCTTCTAAAGGGTAATTTTGTGATGGCTAGCGGCGAAAAAAAATCGCGGCTAAATGATGTTTGCATAATATCCACCTTAATTTTGTCACGAAATGTCCATAAAACGCTGCAAGTCACCGCAAAATACCTGAAACCGTGGTTTAAAATTAGATTACCTAGTTTTTGCTGATTGAACTGTTTTTCCATCTGTAAATCTGATTCTGACTTGGGTCCGAAGTCCACAGTCCAATCAAGAAAGTTGGTTTATCGCGGAATACTGCTACATGTTGTATTAATTTGAGAAACGAATAATACAGGTTACCAAAAGTTCGTCTTTAGACATTTGCAATTCAGATCCAACTCATTCTATCTTGAATTGACAAGTGACAAATTCCCAACTGATATAACATGTAAATACTGTGTGCAATACATATTGAGTTCAAAGAATCAATAAACCAACAAGACCAACAAAGAACAGGATATACTACATGACCAACAAAGAACAGTATATATTTATGCACACAAAAAATATTTACAAGAGAATGCACAAATTAATAGTGGTTTAGATTCCCTAAACTACATGATCATTAGACAATAGCGACATTAAGTCAGTCAACTATCGCCCATCATACGGCATTACCATTTGGATTTGCATGCTATCGTACCCACTGGTTGTACCAATAGTTGCACCTCTAGAACCAAAATCACCTCTAACATCCACAAAATAAGCGTCTAATTTCATAGCTGAACCAAGTAAGTGCTCAGTGTCTTCTGGACTTGAAACTTCAGATTTTCCCCATGGTTGCTTTGGTGTAACTCTCATTCCCTCTAGCTCCATTGCTACTTCTTTCATGCTAGGCCTGTCCTGCCCTTTTAACCTTACACATCTTTTTGCGACTTCTGCCACCTTTTTTAGTGTCTCAACGTTTCTCTCGTTGACTATGTCATCATCAAGAACCTCATTCAAGCGATCTTCCTCCATGAAACGAACAAAGAAGTTGGCTAGGTTTCTGTCTTCCTCGGGCCTGGCCAAAGAAAGTGCCACTTTGCTTGTCAATAGCTCCATAAGGACAACTCCGAAGCTATAGACGTCACTCTTTTCCGTCAGTTGATTCGTAAGGAAGTATTCGGGGTCTAAGTATCCAAATGTTCCTTGCACTCTTGAAGCTCCAAAGTCGGACACTTTTGCCGTGTAATGTTCATCTAATAGTATGTTTGTTGCTTTCACATCTCGGTGGATAATTTGCATGAGAGCAGAGGAGTGTAAGTATGCTAGTGCTCCTGCTGTTTCTGTCGCTATATTCAATCGCAGCTCCCACGAAAGTGACGATCTTTTGCCATTTTTTTTATGGATGTGCTCAGAAAGAGTGCCCTCAACGATGAACTCGTAAACCAGTAATGGCGCCGGTGTCTCTAAACAACAACCTAATAACCTCACCACATTTCTGTGCTTGATTTGAGAAAGGACAATCACCTCATTAATAAAAACGTCACTCTGAGCTGGCGCACCATTAACTTTTGACTTCTTTATAGCAACCACGCTTTTATCTGGTAATATTCCTTTGTAAACCGTTCCATAGCCTCCTTCACCAAGGATTCTACTTTCGTGGTAATTGTTCGTGGCCTTCTCAAGTTCTTCTGCTGTAAAGAGTTTTGTTGTTTCCATAGAGCCTCCTTGACTAGCGAGTTGTTTTTGTAACAATAAGCCACCATTTTCTTTGAAGTATTTCTCTTTGAGTTTGATGAACTTTCTTCTCTGCATACCCCAATATATCCATAAATTTCCAACCAGTAAAAGCAAGAAGCCTCCGCTGGCACCTGCAGATAATTAAATAACATTACAACTACCTCATTTGAAAATTTCATAAGTCTTCTTACTGAGAGTAATCAATATTTATAAGTTGTTAAAAATGTTTGGTA